ATCTCCTTGTTCTCACGAAGGCTCTTAGCTGCCGCTTTGAGCTCGAGGGACAGTATGGTGCTTCTGTAGTTGCCTCGAATCTTTCCTCCTTCTGCAATCAGGAGAAGCACACACAACTCGCAGGTTATAGTTGTGTGTGTGTAAACTAAACTCTTGTAATAACTTATTACATTTTCAAAAACGCGTTCAAATGTCGCATCAGATTAGAAATTAAAAAGAATTTTGGAGAATTGATTTTTCAATTATTATCAACAGTAAAAAAAACATAAGAAATATTGAGAAAAATTTGTGTTAGAATTATTAATCTTACTTTTTCGGTCATATTTAACAACATATGTTTACAAGAAAGACTGCTACCAAAATATACTAATATATATATAATATATTATAATATAATATTATATATATATATATATATATATATATATATATATATATATATATATATATATATATATATATATATATATATATGTGAACAAGCCTGAATGGTCCCCAGAACTATATGCAACTGAAAACTCACACCCCAGAAGTGACTCGAACCCATACTGCCAGGAGCAACGCAACTGGTATGTACAGGACGCCTTAATCCACTTGACCATCTCGACCGGACATAAGGAGGTGATAGCCGAACCTATATGACCCACCAAATATATATATATATATACTTGAAGTACCCGGCCACTCGTTGCTGTGGCATCCCTCCTCCGATGCCTTCTCAAATGGTTTGATGTTCCAATGAGAAAATTGGAAAGGTCAAGTGATCTGATGTTCCCATCACTGATATATAAGAAACACAGTTCATAATGAAATGAAAATATGAAAAAAATATAAAAATAAACTATACTCACGAATATATATATATATAAACTATATATATATATACATATATATATATATATATATATATATATATATATATATATATATATATATATATATATATATATATATGTCGTACCTAGTAGCCAGAACGCACTTCTCAGCCTACTATGCAAGGCCCAATTTGCCTAATAAGCCAAGTTTTCCTGAATTATTATATTTTCTCTAATTTTTTCTTATGAAATGATAAAGCTACCCATTTTCATTATGTATACATACATTATTATGTACTTTTTTATTGGAGTTAAAATTAACGTAGATATATGACCGAACCTAACCAACCCTACCTAACCTAACCTAACCTATCTTTATAGGTTAGGTTAGGTTAGGTAGCCGAAAAAGTTAGGTTAGGTTAGGTTAGGTAGGTTAGGTAGTCGAAAAACAATTAATTCATGAAAACTTGGCTTATTAGGCAAATTCGGCCTTTCATAGTAGGCTGAGAAGTGCGTTCTGGCTACGAGGTACGACATATATATATATATATATATATATATATATATATATATATATATATATATATATATATATATATATATATATATATATATATACACAACGAATAAGTTAGTGTATTTTAATTGTTGAGAGACAGTTGATTTCATTTCCGGCCATCTCTGGTAGGTTAAGTGAAAGGAAAAGCTCTAAGCTTAGAGCTAAGGAGCTATACGCTAAGCTTATAAGTTAGTACTCAGGAGAAAGCTCTAAGCCTGTCCAACTATACAACACCTGAAAGGTATACGAGGACAAGCAGCTGAACTAGGACAGGGAGGGATAGGTCCCTAATCTCTTGGACAATCGGGAATTGAACTCACACCTGCAAAAAAAAAAACGAGGCCGTCGCTGTACCAACCAATCCAAGTGGTTGGTTCTTTCGAAAGGATATAGGATCTATTTAGATTTGTTTTCAAACGACCAGTCTGATTGTAAGATTTGATCCGAATCTTTGATCCATCCAATAGCAGAAATCCTTTTAAATCGCAGTAAATTCATCTGAAGACAAAAATGCACGTCGTCGAAATGTGGGTGGTGGTTCAGTGAAATGTAAAGCTCTGTGGTATATTGACGATTCCTCGGATTGTGAGCCACATAAGTCGCAAAGGTCAGATGGATCGCTAGGTTTGGAAATTTCCTGATAAATCATCAGCAGCAGGAGATGCCACACCACCACACACAGTGAGGGCCACACCACCACACACAGTGAGGGCCACACCACCACACACAGTGAGGACCACACCACCAAACACAGTGAGGGCCACACCACCACACACAGTGAGGGCCACACCACCACACACAGTGAGGACCACACCACCACACACAGTGAGGGCCACACCACCACACACAGTGAGGACCACACCACCACACACAGTGAGGGCCACACCACCACACACAGTGAGAGCCACACCACCACACACAGTGAGAGCCACACCACCACACACAGTGAGAGCCACACCACCACACACAGTGAGAGCCACACCACCACACACAGTGATGACCACACCACTACACACAGTGAGGACCACACCACCACACACAGTGAGGACCACACCACCACACACAGTGATGACCACACCACCACACACAGTGAGGACCACACCACCACACACAGTGAGGGCCACACCACCACACACAGTGAGAGCCACACCACCACACACAGTGATGACCACACCACCACACACAGGGCCACACCACCACACACAGTGAGAGCCACACCACCACACACAGTGAGGACCACACCAACACACACAGTGAGAGCCACACTACCACACACAGTGATGACCACACCACCACACACAGTGAGGATCACACCACCACACACAGTGAGAGCCACACCACCACACACAGTGAGAGCCACACCACACACAGTGAGGGCCACACCACCACACACAGTGATGACCACACCACCACACACAGTGAGGGCCACACCACCACACACAGTGAGGGCCACACCACCACACACAGTGAGAGCCACACCACCACACACAGTGAGAGCCACACCACACACAGTGAGGGCCACACCACCACACACAGTGAGGGCCACACCACCACACACAGTGAGGACCACACCACCACACACAGTGAGGACCACACCACCACACACAGTGAGGGCCACACCACCACACACAGTGAGGGCCACACCACCACACACAGTGAGGGCCACACCACCACACACAGTGAGGGCCACACCACCACACACAGTGAGGGCCACACCACCACACACAGTGAGGGCCACACCACACACACAGTGAGGGCCACACCACACACACAGTGAGAGCCACACCACACACAGTGAGAGCCACACCACACACAGTGAGAGCCACACCACACACAGTGAGGGCCACACCACCACACACAGAGCCACACCACCACACACAGTGAGGGCCACACCACACACACAGTGAGGGCCACACCACACACACAGTGAGAGCCACACCACACACAGTGAGAGCCACACCACACACAGTGAGAGCCACACCACACACAGTGAGGGGCCACACCACCACACACAGTGAGGGCCACACCACCACACACAGTGATGACCACACCACCACACACAGTGGTGTGGTGTGAGTTACGTCTTCAATCCATCACAAAGTACTATAAACGCCAATCATTGCCGACGGAACATATAAACACCTAACGTAACGTAGGTCTATCTATACACAAAATGCTAATGTATATCAATAAAAATCTACAAGAAAAGCGTCAGTTTTCAACACACAATACACTGCTTTAACATTGACGAATGCATCTAATTGGTAGTCGGCCGCCGCTTGAACGAGTAAGATACCTGTGACCTTAGTAATTTACTTGGGACCTCAGGAAGGTACCTAGAACTTCAGAAAGGTGCCTAGGACCTCAGTAAGGTATGTAATACTTCAGTAAGTTACCTGGGACAACAATAAGGTACCTGGAGGGACTGATGCTACTTGGTGGAGGCACCAGGTCAGTAAGGTAACACCGAAGGATGCAGATATCAGCTTTGATGTTGTAAATATTATATCTCAACTTATATGAGAAGAAAGTCAAGGGATGGGCATATATAGAAACCTTTTAGAGAGAGAGCTTTATTGAGACTGGACCAGAGCTCTACTGACGCTGGTACAGAGATCTACTAACAGCAAAACAGAGTTCAACTGACACTGGAGCAGAGCAGTCTCCAGCCTGCACCACCACCACCATCACCACCACCACCTCCACCATCATCACCACCTCAACCACCACTACCACCTCTATCACTGCCTGAACGCCAACTACTAGTTCTGCAAATATAATTTGAGAATCTCCATCATTAGCTCGACCCTCACTTTCCCTCTCTATACCACCATTAACTATCACTATCCATACCTCCACCTGTGTAAAATACTGCTATCACCATCACCTGATCCACCCCCCTTTCCCACCATCTGCAACACCTCTACCTGAACTACGGCCAATTCAATCACCACCACCACAACACCCTGCTCCACCACCACTACTACATCCAAAAGTACCACCACTATCACCATTGTCACCATCATTCCTACTGGTACCCCCACCTCGTTATTGCTTGAAACGCTAAATACCTGAAATCAAAGACTCTTTCCTTGGGTCTAGCCTCAAGCAAGCTGATTTAATCAAGTCCTAAGTATTTGGACTCTTAAAGCCAACTTCGTTTTCCCCTGCTAATGAACTCGAGTGAACCTCTCATGCCCAAATCAAAAACTGGAAAAATAAGATACACATTTTAAACAGGAAACTAATGTAATGCTCAATTGTTTTGCAAGAGTAGTAGAAAGACCAGTAGCTGAGGACCAGAATCCGACCAAGAAGATTTTGGCCGGATATTGTTTCATTAAAGATCTTCAAGCGCCCAAAACCCACATTCAGGGCTCCTGAGCTGTTCCCGGCGAATCCATGCAGCCCATGGCGTCAGTAAGCAGCGAGACCACACCTGACGTAATGTCAGGTATGTCATCAGTCACACTAATGACTAGTGTGACTGATTAGCCTGCATTAACGTGAATCAGAATTGCGACACCGTGAGAAGCCGTAAGCACTCGGAGAACCCCGGAGAGACTTTGGGTTTTTATGGGATCCCTGGGCACTCGGGAGAACCTCTGTGTACCCCCTTAACACTTCTAGGACGCCATAAGCACTCGGAGCACTCCAGAGAGGGACCTATTATCCACACTGGTCTCGTGGAAGACCTGAAACGCCCCCGAGAGGTTTAGATCACTGATACTTGCAGGAATATTCTCTATTTCTCCTTCGCTTAGGAGAAAAGTTGAAACATTAACTATTGAAAAGTCCATTTCATTCATTTAATATCATGACGCGTCTCGCTAGAGGACACGTTTTGTTGCAATTTTCTAACAGAAAAAGGTGTAAATATATTCCATGCTGGTTATGCAGTCGAGGAAGGTGTGTAAGCTTGCTCTGGTCGGCTGAGGCAGTTGGTGTGACCTGACACACTTGTCTTGGTCATGTAGATGGTAGGACGCACTCAAGTGTAAGCTGGGTGTTGATAGTTGGATGAGTATTTGATATGTAGTGCTTCGGTTATGTCTAATCTCTCTCTTTTTTGTATCCGTCAATTACTTCGGTGTTGTTGATCGCTTTCGTTTTCTCATCGTTGCCTCTATATTTTGTCGGCGTTTGTTGTGATAATCTCGCTTTTGTCAAGGCTCTTTTTCCAGTGTAGCGAGGTTTATCTCTTTAGCCTCTCCCAACTGTTCAGTTCTTAATTGTTTAGTGAGCAGTCTGAAATTCCTTTAATTCTGGCCTGTGTTTTATGGTAAGGCTTGTAGGCTGAGGCGACATTGGCTAGGTAGCATAACTCACACGTAGTCCTGAATCCCGACAATGATTCTGGACAATATTTCAGGAACCTTCTCCATGTGCTTCAAACCTCCACGAATGTTCGACAGCTTCGCGAGTGCTGATAATTTTATACTCTAAATTTGTTTGCCCTCTGGTTAGAGGACTGATGTTCTTGGTGGATTGAACAAGTCTCTAATTCCTCGATTTGTTTCCCCTTGTCTTCCTCAGGCAGGTATCTCCCCCTCATCGTCTTAATGTCATTAAATCCTTCTCATTTTCTTTCCCAATCTCATCACCTCCCAGTTGCTTGGATTTGATTCAAGCAGCCACTTTTCACCACCTTTAAGAATTATATCAGGTCCCTCTGAAGTATTTCGCAACTCTTCTGTTATAATTTGTTCCATCAGATCATGACACCTTTTGAACAATATTGACATGTTTCATCCTGATTTCTCAGTTAATCTTTGATATTTATCAGGAATGGTGCAGGTCTCAGTCGATCTCCCTGAAATATACCGGTTGACTCAATTCTGATCTCTTCTGCTAATCTATTTTTGTTTTTTCTTACATTTGAAGGATAGAATGTCCTTTACCCAGTTCAACATAGTCAATATACATTGACTGGTCGGTAGAGCCACGACATTACTCTTTTTTTATTTTTGTTTAGAGTCGGAGTGTGACATAGTCTCTCAAGTAGATGGATATTGTGTTATCTCTTCAATATATTCCTTCCAAATGTTATATAGTTATACAGGCTTAACACTTTCTCGTGATAATTACACTGCCTTATCTTGACCCACGCACCTATTCTTTCCCCTTGTGTGCCAACTGTTTCCTCTTTGACACATTGGTTTAGAAAACAATTCAATCAATAGCAGCAAAAGCCTTCCTCTCCATTTATTAGTCTCACCACAAGTGTTCTTTCCGACCCAATCTATTTATTCATAGTGGAAATCACCCATGATAATGAGACAGTGTTATCATTCTGTCAATTATTATTAATGCATCTTGAATTATATTTTGCATAACAAGTCCCATCACCGGCATTCTCATAGCAAAATTTCTGGGAAACGTTTGATACAAACGACGTGGAGGTGTGTGTGTGAGGCCTAATTGCCAGCTGGATAATTACCTAACTAGCGAGCCTAAATTGAAGGGGGGAGGGGGGGGGGGCAGAAGAAGACAGTAAATGGCGAAATACTCTGTTTTCAGTCCCTGCATACGTTGCGTTTCTCATGGTTGATTACTCTAATTTACCTGCCGCACCTAGGCTATCCTGGATGATGCCTTTTTTTTATTGATGTTGAAGTGAAGAGGTGTTGAAGGATTTCCGAGGAAATGAAGCAATAAATGATGAATATGGCAATGAGCATGAAGGTGATGATAGTGAAGGTGGCTGCGACTAGTCATTGTATTATGATGTTGACAGCTGTGACTACAATCATTGTATTAACATGATGTTTACGGCACTAATGATGGAAATATAGCTCATAGAGTAAAATGATCTAAACTTACACAAAGCTTAAATTTCCTACAGAAAACAATTGAAACTTATCAAAACAGACTTCAGTGACAGCCAAGTTAGCTAAATGAAGAGTGCAAGAACCTCCAAACACTGTAAAACTACCTCTTGACCTCAGTAAAACCACCTCTAACCACAGTAAAACTTTTTCTGATGAATTAATCTATAAACAAATCATAATAGACTTCTTATCATAATAAAACTACCTTTAATCACAGTAAAACTACCTCCAGTCGCAATGTAACTATGTCCAATCATAGTACAAAATACATTCTTTGTAAAACTAGGGTAAAACCCCATCACAGCGCCATCCATCAGTAGCAGGGAGTACAGCGAATCGTCCTCTTTTTGTTTTTTTAGAAAAGAGGACGATACGCTGTGGGGTTTCTTTATATATTTTTGATGAGCCGTGTGAGGCTTCGGGTTTCCTGATAATTTTTCAGAGTTAAAGGCCGAAATTTTTCAAAGACTATTTGCGAGAATATCTTCGTAGAAGTTTGTTAGGAGTTCTTATGGGGAAAAATCTAAATTTTTCAGAGTTCAGTGTTACGGCCCTCTCGGGTCGCAACTGGGTTCGTACTCTGATGTTATTAGAGGAAGGGTATCCGGCCCCAAGCCAGTAGTGGTTTTCAAGGGATGAGATCCGTGACGCAAGTAAAATAAAAGGGGAAGGGAAAGAAAGGCAAAAACTTAAGATTATAATTAATACCTTCACCAATAAATAATATATAAAAGTTACACAGGGGGAGGGGTATTAACACTTATTTACACTGTAGTCTTCTTCTGAAGACTCTGGATCCTTTCGGTGATGAGTCCTCGGTGCTCTCGTGGTCTCTTGACGATTCCTTCGATCAAGCTGAGTCTACCCCTGACACAGGCCAGCCAAAACACAGTTCCACTGGGGGCACCGCCGTGGAGGCCGTCAACCACAAGTCCAGCAGAACAGCTGGCAGGTTCCGGATCAGCAACGCTGGTCAGGCCACTCCACGAGCGATACTAGGGTAGCGCCCTAGTCAGGAGCCTCGTGTGATACCACAGATCACTCTCCTGTCTACAATACCCCAGTGGTTAATCGTCTCCAGCAGTCGGTCCCGGGTACGACAATCCTTCACTGCCGCTTCACAGGCAGGGTAACACCACAGTGTTCATCCGGGAGGCGACTCACAGCTGCTGCAGCAAAGCACTTGGTATGGGGACGGCTGCCTTGGGTAGACTGACTCAACTTCCATCACAGCAGTCCCAGGTCGACTCTGTAAGCAGACACGTCATCAATAACAGGGACACACTAAAGCACCTCACTTACAGGCTCAGACACAAACGCCCGACGTATCTACTCCATAGATGGCGCTGTTGTCTGAGCACCACCTCACCAGAGGTCAGCAGCGGCTGTGTTGTGAGCTGAACCGGACTGGAAACTGGCCCTTGTGGCCAGTACACCTTGTCCTCACCAGGTGTCGTCGTCCATTTGGTGGGGGTTTCGGGAGCTGACCCACAGATGGCGCGGTCGTCACTGCTCCGTGCTCGGACGCTGGATCCGGGTTCGTAACATTCAGTTTTATGAAAATATTTCAGAGTTCATATAATCATATGAGTTTATTTAAGATTGTAGTACCGAAAATTATAAAAAAGACCATTTTCAGAGAATATGTTCATAGATGTTTGTTAATAGTTCTTATGGGAGAAATCCAATATTTTTCAGAGTTCAGTTTTATGAAAATATTTCAGAGTTAATGTAATCATAAAAGTTTTTTTCAAGTTCATGACCGAAATTTGGAAAAACGACCATATTAAGAGAATATTGTCATAGAAGTTTTGTTAAGGAAAACAGAAATCTTAAAAGCAAGTTTTAGTTTTTGTATGCATTTATGGCTTTTTCACCTGTAAGGACCAAAAATTATTCAGAGACCATTTGTGGACCGATTTTCTCCAGAGTCCATTTAAGACTGCAAATTAGCCAGAGACCAGTTTAAGCTCAAATTTCATCAGAGTCCAGTTTAGGCCCCAAAATTCGTCAGTCCAGTTTATACCCAAATATAATCAGAGTCCAATTAACGACAGAAAATTAGTCAGAAACCAGTTTATGCCGAAAATTCACCAGAGTTCGGTTGTAGACAGAAATTCGTCTGAGTCCAGTTTAGTCTGAAAATTTAACAGAGTCTTGTAAAGACCCAAAATTAGTCAGAGTCCATTTTGAGACCAATTTTCAACAGTCCAGTCTATGCGGAAAATTCGTCAGAGTCCACTTTGGGATTAAAATATTTCAGAGTTTTATTTACACCTGCGTTCTTAAAGAGTTCTTATGGAGGAAATTCAAATAATATCAGAGTCTGTCTGAAGACCTAAAAAGAGTCCAGTTTGAACCCAGAAATATTCAGAGACATAATTTCATCAGAGACCGTTTTACGCCCAAAATTTGTCAGAGACCACATTTTCGCTACTAATAGCCCAATTTTAAAAGGACATTTTTTGTATGTAGTAATATGAATCATGTCAGTAAGCAAGTTTTACCTCCTGTCCCCCACCTTAGTTCGCTCTCATTTCTTCGTTAATACTTAACCAATCCCCCTGAAATTTTAAACAGTCATATTTCAAACGTAGTAAATCAAATCAAAGCAGTTGAACTCTAGCTCCTGTCCTCAGCCCTAGTTCCCTCTCGCATCTTCGTTAATAATCATCAATTTTCCTGAAATTTAAACCCGCCATACTTTTCACAGAGGAAGTAAAGATAACACATTTACCGAGCTCCAGCTCTTGTCCTAAGCCTTAGTTCCCTCTCATATCTTCGTTAATACCTGAACAATTTTCCTAAAATTTAAACCCACTATACTTCTGAGTAAATAAAGTGAACGCAATTACCGAGCTCTAGCTCCAGTCCATGCATAATCTCCTCTCGTGTCTTCGTTAATATCCTATCAATGTCTCTAAAATTTAACCCCTCTGTATTTCTGACATAGTAAATTAGATCCAAATAATTATCAAGTTCTAGTTCCTGTCCCCCGCCGTAGTTCATATAAATATCTTCGTTAATAGCGGATATATTTCCATGAAATTTTAACCCGCTGTATTTCAGTCACAGTAAATAAGATCCAAATAGTGTTACAGAGTTTCAGCATTTGTCACATTCCTTAGTTTGCTCCTGTAAATTCACTACTATTAGTCCAAATCCCCAAAAGATTTAAAACCCCAACTATATTTCAGACCCCTAGTAAAATAAATCAAGACATTAACAGAATTCCATATCCTTTCCTCTGCCTTAGTTCATAACACATAATTATTTCAGATCAAGGCTCTCTCCAGCCTAACAAAAGTAAATGTATTCCATCCTTCATTACCCTTTTTGTACTCATCTATGTAAATATTCAATAACGTGCTAATATTCACACGGTCAGATTGCACCCTACTCTCATTATCCTTTGTTTACCCAAGTAAGCAATAATTACACAGTAAAAAATCACACCTTACCCTTTCCCTCCCTTACCCAACCCCCCCTCCCTTAACTCCCCAACTCATCCATACCTTCAATAATCGTACTGTATTTGCATATTTTCTCTATATTCACTGCGTTCTTCGTATTCTCATCCATGTTTTCTGTGTTCACTCCATTTTCTTCATATGTTAACATCATATTCAGTTCTTATTTTCACAAGTATTTGCACTTTTCTGTGATCTTTCTCATAGTCTCATAATTTTCTCTACAAATTCTAGTCATATTTTCTATGTTTTCATGTTCTCTGCAAGTTCATATTCTCCACACGTTCACTGTGTTCATCAGCCTTTCTTACATATTTTCCATGTTTTTATGTTCATCGCATGTTCTCTTTACAACGTTTATACTCCATATTCATAATGTCTTCCATGTTTTTTTGTGTTCTTTGTCAATATTCATGTTCTCTACAAGTTCATGTTCCTCACATGATCACTTCGTTCATCACCTTCACTTAAGTGTTTTCTACATTCTCTGTCATATTCTCTATGTTCTTCACAAGTTCATTGTTCATTCTCTGTATTCCCTATGTTCTTTATCATATTTTCCTGTTCTCTGCAAGTTCATAGTCCCCAAAGTTTACTGTGTTCTTTTCATGTTCACGTATGTTCACTGTGTTCAATGCCTATCAAAACATAACGAACCTAACTTACACAACCTAACCTAATTTAACTAAACTTAACTGACATAATCTGACCTAACCACTGTACGTAACTTACTAACTTAATTTATATAATGTATCATAACTTCTGTACCCTTACCTTCCTAACCTCTCCCACCTAACTTTTACTTAGCTTAAATTATCTCATATTTTTCTCACATTAACCTAACCTATTTTGATTTTAGTGCATTTATTAGGATTTATATATTTTGTTCTTATTCGCCACCCTTTAACCTAACCTTTCAGATGTAGTTTATTGTGTTGGACATATTTTGTTGAATATATTATCCTTATTCTAACCTTTCAGACGTAGGTTTGTTTCTCCTTTTAGTATATTTTACCCAAACCCACCTTCCCACTTAACCTTCCTTTATTCTTTTACTTTGTTTTCTCTTCCTCATTTTCTCTCTATCTTCCTCCATCTCTATTCCTCCTTCTCTTTCCCTCCTTCTCTCTCCCTTCCCCCTCTTCCTTCCCCCTGTCTCCCTCTCTTCCACCTCTCTCTTGTTTTCTTTTTCTTAGTCTCAAGTCATAAGAGATCTGACTCTTTTCTGCTGTTCTTATATAAGTTCATTTATCTTAGTAATAATATAAGTACAGTAGAAAAGAGTCAGATCTACTAAGACTTGAGCCTGAGAAAAAGAAAACAAGAGAAGGAGAGGTGGAAGAGAGGGAGACAGGAGGAAGGAAGAGGGAGGAAGGGAGAGAGAAGGAGGAATAGAGATGGAGGATGATAGGGAGAAAAGGAGGAAACGAAAACAAAGTAAAAGAATGAAGGAAGGTTAAGTGGGAAGGTGGGTTTGGGTAAAATATACAAAAAGGAGAAACAAACCTACGTCTGAAAGGTTAGAATAAGGATAATAT